AGGGATCAACCACAAACGTTTGGGTAATTGATGATATCGGTTTCCAAAGATCTTTTTGATTAAAAAAAATTTAAAGAACTTAAATTTTTGTTTTGATTTGTTGTTTACATTTCTACAACTATATAAAAAGAAAAATGAAATTATTAAACTTTATTTTTACGACTAAAAAAATTATTAAACATTATATAATGTACTAAAGATAAAAAGTTATAAATCATAAAAATACCTAATGAAAATTTAAATCTATACGACCGTTAAAAAAATATGATCCAATCACCTAATCGCCATCAATACCACCCCAAACATTTATAGACTGTTTTGTTTGACTATAAGTGTTAACAAAATAGCGATTGGTTGATGCATAGTAATGAAAATTATGCCGATTCGCTGTTCCATTTTTATGAAATTTAGGCTCATCTCCAAAAAGCATATATTCGGAAAAGAATTGGTCTCTTTGCACTTGTTGCTGAGACTATTGACAAAAAGCTAATCTACGTTGAAAATCTTCTTCTTCTTTGAGTACCGTGCCCAAGTTTTAGGCAGGGGTAGCTTCAATGACTATTTGCCGATATCGTTCTCGATCTTGCGCGGCGTGTAATAATTCATCTGCTGATAAACCAGTCCATTGATTAAGGTTTTGGAGCCATGAGTATTTCTTTCTACCAATTCATCTTTTTCCGTCGATCTTGCTGTTGAGTATCAACTGCATTATCCTGTATCTCCTTCCTCTCATTATATGCCCCAGGTATTCGAGTTTTCTCTTTTTTATCATCTTTATTAAGGCACGTTCCCCTTGACCTACTCTGTTTAAGACTTCTCTGTCTAAAATGGGTTGAACCCATGATATTCTGAGCATTCTACGATATAACCACATCTAGTTAGGGTTCGCTGTGAGTTCAGCGAACCCTGTCAAACGCCTTCGTCAGATCAATGAAGCAAATATACGCTGACATGCCGAACTCTATAGCTTTTTCTTTTATTTGTTTTACTATGAATACTGCATCTGTTATAGACCGCCCTCTTTTAAAACCTTATTTTTCTTCAACATTAGTGATTTGTCTTTCCAATTTGTCCTTAAGAATACGCGTGAAAAGTTTCATCGTTGTATTTAAGATGGTTATTTCTCTGTAGTTTTGTGATGTTTAAATGTTTATTCTTAAATTAGAAATAAAACAAACATGTTACATAAGTACTCTGATATAAAATAAAATAACACAACTATTTTCCATATTTTGAAAACAAAAAATTAGTGCTTCAACGAGTCATAAAAACCATGATAATCTGGGTGAATAACAGTCTTAAGAGACTGCAGGTGATTAAATTTGTCTTCTGTAATGGGCAAATGGTCATTATACATTTTTCTTACGATTCCTGCATTATTCGTATTTTTGCGAACTGGTAAAAACTGCCACTCCTCCTCAAAGTTTAGTTTGAATTAGACAGGCAAATCTCTGGAATACCTGAGAGCCCTCAGATTATTCACGCATGCATCTCCCACTTTTTTTCCTGGACGAATGGATGAATAATACTTAGTTTCGGAATAGTCATTAAAAAATTGGTGATCAATGTATTTAACTTTGTATGGATTTTGGAAATTTTTCGGGCCTCTTTTAATTATTTCCACATAATTGGATGGTGAGTAAATGCATTTATTTTTTTTTCTTTCTTTCAATGGTGGAGTGCACACTATCGCACTCCATTTGGGAGTGACCTTTAACTAAATATTTCTGTATAATTACCGTATCATTTTCGTTGCAGAAATGCTGAAGTGCATTAGCCAATGTTACGTTGCGATTTTGTGCAGAACATCCATCGCTATAAAAAATGTTTGGTTTGTCCTTTTCTTGGGCATCTAACTCTTCATTTAAAAAATCAATTATACAAGATGTAAAGGAGTTGGTATCCGTTTTGCCCTCTCCCTCATGCCATACATAACAAACTACTTATTATTTGTTAAATTATAGATGGTGAAGTTATGGCATGCTAGTCTCTGTTTAAAGTATACCATGCCTGCTGGGACGACAGGGACAAGTTGGACCGCTTGTACATCCATCGTAAATACGCACACTTTTCCTTCCAACGCATCTTCTTTATCCTTGGTTTTTCCTTTCTAGCGCGATCTTTTTGGCTAATATGCGATTCATAATCTTCTTGCCCTACATTGCCCAGTTTATGCGAAAAACATAAATCACACTGGTCCTTCCTTGGATGATACACATCAATGTTTGTGTTTTTCATTTCTTTTAAGAAAACATCATATCCTACAGCAGATTGTGGTTCATAATTTTTGTATACGTCATATACTTTCTTATATGATTGAAAAGTTGTTTCCACCTAAAGTTTACTCGTTAATGAACGGCAATAATGGGAGGGCATCTTTGGCAGTTTTTCAAGGAATGCTTTAACTTTATTTCTGCGTTCAATATTGACAGGTTTAATCTTGGAAGGAAAAGAAGTAGTAGTTACTTTTGGGATACCCGCGTCACAACTAGTTTTCACCCAGTTTTGAACACTCCATTCACCCAATCCTAATGTGGAGAGAAAAATTTTCTTGCAAACTGGAATTACGGTATTATCTATTTTCAAATGATAAAATAAACTTAAATTACGCCTTGATTTATTTTTTGTTCTTTTTTGCACTGTTGGCTGTTTATTAACTAGCGTACACACAAATATCTTTCGTTGATGCCAATCCATCTCAGACCAAAACCCATCAAAAATTTTCCTTCGTTGATCATCAGTTTATCATTGAACATTTCCTTTTTTCTTTTGCTGCTAAACACTTTGCTGAAATACATATTGGTTTCATTTCCCGGGAGTTTCTCTTATGGTAACTATAGATCCATCTTTCTCCTTCTTTTTTGCTCTATATTCTTTACCACGCATTCTTAAACATTTTTGTTCATTTCTTTCCCAAGTAGAAGAATCTGTTTTGCCTTTTTTGCTACGCCTTCTCTTCTCATTTTTTTCTTTTCGAAGAGCGTCTACTTCTTTAGGCGTCGCTTTAATTTTTTTGCGTTCTGGCGACATTTACAGCTTCATCTTTAGAATCCGACGAACTATTTGGATGATAACTTGACTCTGATCCTTCGAAAGGTTCTTCATATTCAATATCGGTGTTATAGTGTCGATTTTCTGCAGCTTCACTGATATTTTCTATATTCAAAGTTAGATCCCTACTTACATTCTCCATCTGAGTACTGTCCTTGACATCAACATTCATACTATCTTCTATATTAATACTAGCCAAACATCTGCTTTGGTTGTCATTTTTTAAATGAGATCCTGTTTGAATAGCAGTACTCTTTGGGTTAAAAATGGTACAAGAATGTACTTGAATGTTTTGTGAACAACTGATGAAAAAGCAGTGTGCTGGAAACTCAAGGATTCTTCTCGAAAGGTCTCATAAACTTGTTCAAAGCCTGTATTTGCTTTTTTCCAATCTTCTACATGACAGCTCTTAAGTTCTGCGACTTCTATCTCTTCTTCTGCGATCTCTTTAGAATGTAAATTTTGATTGGTAGTACTTTCATTCTGCTCAATATCAGAATCCGCTTTTAGACTTTCTAGTGCTGATTTGACCATTCTTAAAGCCCGGCTTGCCTAAAAATTAAAACAAAAATACTTATTTTGTTTCCAAAGAAACCTCGTAAATCAATATTGTAAATACTTGATTATATTTTGGTAGGTAACGAAACCTCGTATCACAATATTTTTCACTTAAAAATTTACTGTAATACATTATTTTGGAAATTCTTGTACCAACTGACAAGTTTTTGTAATTTGTTTCAGTTGATCACTTGAAATATAATAATTGAGTCATCATAACCTCAAATTTTTTGGAACAATAATAGTTATATTTCTGTTTAACGTAAAACAATGCGTCTACGTATTATTAAAACAAAGTATTAAAATGTTTTCACTTACCATAGCTTCTAATAAACAGTTATAATTCTTTTAAACCTATATAACTGCACAAAACTTTTCAGTATTTAACAATTTTTCAGACACGTGTTGACTTACGTGGTTTCGTGCGCAACATGTGAGATACAAGGTTTCTAAATTCGAGTGACGGAGGTGCAATTTTACATGCTTTGTAATAAGAGGTTTCTCAATCGATGCAGCTCGATTTCCTAATATAGGCCACATAAAAAACGAAAAACCATCGAAAATTGAGATACGGGGTTTTGACATCTTAGCGACGATATTTTAAGAGTTCATTGGGGATACCATCTATCATTGATCGCTGGCCTGGATGTGTTGTCGATTCTCATTTCATTTCTAGCGCAAAAGTCTATTAGTGCTTCACCGTCTTCAATAATTATTTCTTCGTTATACTTTTGTTTTATACCTGGTTTCCGATCCGTGCATTAAGATCCCCGAATACGATAATTTTGTGTTTATCATGTATGTTATCTACGGTGTTTTGTAGTTGCTGATAGAAATTTTCAGTTTCTTCTGTTAGTTCGTCTATTTAAATTAAACGCTTTTAAATTTTTAGGTTATTATCTGAGAATAAATTGCTCGAAATACACAACAAGATGTTTCTAGGCTTACACAATTTGAAAGTTCTTTCTCTGAACAATAATCAAATAACATGCGTAATGCCCGGATCGTTCGATTTTCTCCAATCACTGCACACACTGTAAGTTTTATTTTTATTTTAAGTAACTTTAGTTAGATTAAATAATACAGTTTTGTATTGGTGGATCTATTGGTATCTGAATTAAATCTTAATTTAGCTAGTTTATTTCAAATTTGTATTTAAAGTGTTAAATTTTTTTAGGAATTTGGTCCAAAATCCTTTCATGTGCAACTGTCATCTAGCATGGTTTTCCGACTGGTTAAAAAATAAAGGTTTAAGTGGTTCACCTCCAAGATGTGCCGGTCCTGATAGAGTCAAAGACGTATTGATACGGGAACTGCCTAAAACGGAATTCAAATGTTTAAGTAAGTCCAAGATTTTCAAATCGGAAAATTGTTGGATCTTAACGAAGACATTTTTTATACTTATCTTATCTTTTACAATTTTAGGTGATAGTGACCAAGGCTGCTTAGGAGAAAATTACTGCCCTCCTATGTGTTCGTGTACAGGAACAGTAGTTCGATGTTCTAGAGCTAACCTCAAGGAAATACCCCGTGGAGTCCCACCTGAAACCTCCGAATTATACCTAGATTTTAATGACATCGACAGGATACAGGGTGATAGGATTAAACATCTAAAATCTTTGACAAGACTGTAAGTAATATTTTATATATACATACATTACGTTTTTATCGAAACTGCTTAGAGTCTTAAAAAAGGATTTCAAATCCGTACCTCGGAGGTAAAGGACACTATGTCCATTTTCTTACTTTTTAAGGAGAGCAGTTTTAACATTTTTTAAATTTGTAATCAGTAAATACTCAAATGTTTCTGATATTTAACCAAAATTAATATATTATATTTACTAGGACTAGGTTGGACCATACGTGGGCTGCGCGTGGGATGTGCGTGAGCTGTGCGTGGGCTGTACTCAATTTGCGCCGGGCCTTAATCGGAATCATTTTCTACATCCGAAGTTACTTCTTCATACAGAGTAGTTAGACGTTGTATTTCTCTTTCATAAGGATCCATCACTGAAATAATTGTCCTAAGTGTCAATGTCAAAAATTAATAAAAGACCTACTTACCTCAAACACAAGATACGCAAATTAATGAATAAAACAATTAACTGCTACGTCTACTTCTCGCGAAATAACTTTATTATCAGACATATTTTACACTAAACCAAAATAACAACTGAAGCATGTCTAAGAATTACACTGCATATTCTCGGTCGGGGAAATCCAGCCCAGTGAATACCATCTGTATAATATTTAGATACGTAATTTTCTACGATTTGACTCGACACTAGAGGGAAAATAAAATAAATAAATAAAGTTCCTGTATATGAAAAAACTTCGCCATATCAAAAAGATGGAGATCATCTCTCCTTGATGTACGTAACAAAAGAGGAGCAGACATCGCAAGTGACCATCATCTTGTAATCGGTACCATTAAAATCAAAATGGCAAAAAACAAAATCACACGAAACACCAAACGACCAACATACAATCTAGACAAATTAAAAACGGCTACAGGAAGACACATGTTTACGGAGGAACTTCAACTCAAAAGAAGAGAACGTGAAGTAAATAGCTGGGAAGATCTGGCAAATGTTTTGACAGAAATAGCTGAAGATAAACTGGGTAAAAAAGAGAAACATAGAAAAGAATGGATATCAGATGAAACTTGGAATCTTATCGAAGAAAGAAAACAGCAAAAAAAAGATATTCTGCAAGCAAGAACTGTAGAAGGAAGAGCGAACCGACAACAAGAATATGAAACAATAAATAAAGCAGTTAAAAGAAATGCAAGAAGAGACAAAAGAAGATGGACTGAAGAACTGGCAAAACAAGCCGAAATAGCTGCACAACACAATAGAACTAGAGAGCTATACCAAATTACTAGACGTCTAACAAAAAGTGGGCCCAACTGTTCAAACGTCGTAAGATCCAAGACAGGAGAACTACTTACTACAACAAATGACCAAATAGAGAGATGGAAAGAGCATTTCCAGGAGATGCTAGGCACGCCCAGGGATAACGCAGATGAAATTGTCGAAAATCCACAGAATATAGACTTGCGTATATCTTGCGACGCCCCTTCCAAAACAGAGATAATAACAGCTATCAAATCTCTGAAAAATAACAAGTCTCCGGGAATCGATAACATTGCTGCCGAAATGCTTAAAACTGATCCGCATCTAACTGCTGAACTTTTGCTCCCCATAATCCGAGAGGTGTGGGAAACAAACCGCATTCCAGCGGGCTGGAAAAAAGGCATCATTACTAAGCTTCCAAAAAAGGGCAACCTCAAACTATGCAAAAATTGGAGAGGAATAACCTTGCTTACCGCCATAAATAAAATCTTCACGACCATCATACTTAAAAGATTCAAACAAGGTTGAATTTCGAGCTAATCAAGTAGGCTTTAGACCAGAATCCTCCTGCATAGACCACATTAATACTGTGAGGCTAATAATGGAACAATCGGTTGAATGGAACACACCCCTATACATGGTTTTTGTTGATTTCGAGCGTGCTTTTGACAGCTTATCTCATGATGCAATATGGAAAATTTTAGAGCTAAGAAACATCCCGCATAAAATAATTTCCATTATAAAGTTACTGTACACTGAAGCGAAATGCAGCGTGACACACAATGGGATCAACAGTGACGAATTTGACGTACTTACTGGAGTCAGACAGGGATGCGTGCTTTCTCCGTTTCTTTTTAACATAGCTCTAGACTATGTTCTCTCCAAACTAGACTCTGACACAAGAGGGATACAATGGACGTTAACCACACGCCTAAGCGATCTAGAATACGCCGACGATATCTGCCTGTTAGGACAAAGGTTCCAAGATGTGGCTGACCAATTGGAAACACTTTCCACTGAAGCCAATAAAATAGGTTTGAAAATCAATATTGGTAAAACCAAATCCATGAGAATAAATGCAAGAAAACAACACGCTATTCACCATTAATAACATGCAGATTGAAAATGTGGAAAACTTTACGTATCTTGGAAGTGTCATAACAGAAAGCGGAGGTACAGAAGACGATATTCGTATGAGGATACGAAAAGCGCAACAAGCTTTCAGCATGCTCAACCCTGTTTGGAGGTCTGGAGAATACACTACGAGGACAAAGATCCGCATATTCCAGTCAAATGTCATGTCTGTACTACTTTACGGATGTGAAACCTGGAAAGCGACAAAAACCCTTACAGACAAACTGCAGGTCTTTGTTAATAAATGTCTACGAAGAATTGTTCGTATTTTCTGGCCTAACATCATCAGAAACGAAGATTTACTACACCTAACCAAACAAAAGAGGGTAGTAAATGAAATAAAGTCCAGAAAGTGGGGTTGGATCGGTCACACACTCCGAAAAAATAACTCCAGTATTGCAAAGACTGCCCTAGAGTGGAATCCCCAAGGAAAACGAAAAAAAGGTCGCCCAGTACAAACTTGGAGAAGATCCATCATGGACGAGATAAGAAAACAAGGAAAGTCTTGGAATGAGGTGAAGGCCTTAGCGCAAAATAGAACCGATGGCGCGTTTTCACTGAAGCTCTATGCTCCACTTGGGAGTTCAAGATACCTATATATATATATATATATATATATATATATATATATATATATATTTATATATATAATATATATGAAAAAACTTAATAAACGAACGACGATGGTCTATCAGGACAAATTAATTTATTTTAAACTAAACGATTTTTAACAAAAAGAGAAATCATACGATTTCTACCTGGCGAAATCGAATTCAAATAACAGCCACCGTGCTTCCTAAGGGCGAGCGCCCCCAAAGTGGCGTGGCAAGTAGCACGTAGAACGCGTCTAGCATGTTTCTTAAATGTAACCAATGAAAACGAATGATTAGAATGAATGACGTCACTGTCATTTTGGTGTACGCTGAATCTTTCGTTTTCATTGGTTACATTTTAAGAAACATGCTAGACGCGTGCTACTTGCCACCTGCTACGTGCCACGCCACTTTGGTGGGCGCTCTCACTAAAACTTATAGCATTATTAAGCTATTATTAAAACTTATAAGCTATTACACATAGCTTGATGAATAAATCTAATACCGCGATTGTGTTTATATCGACTATCGAATCAAAATCTAATACCGTCATTGTGTTTTAAATGATTTTTCTTGTAAAATATAATGTAAAATGTAAGTGTTCATTTTTATTAAAAGTACTAAAAATCCCGACAATGTAGATTATTTATTTTTAAGAAAATAACAGAGTGTTCCACTTAACAATTATTATCTTCTGTTTCAGAGATTTAAGCAATAATAAAATAGCTATGTTATCGAATGATACATTTACGAATCTTTCAAAGTTGTCTACATTAATAATAAGCTACAATAAATTACAATGTATTCAGAGGGACTCGTTACAAGGATTATTATCTCTACGAATTTTGTAAGTATCTACAATAATAAGTACTATTATTATTTATTATATTAATATTTCATTAATAAATTATAACTTATAAATTTATATTACGTATAAATTTATAACTTTTAACGCAGCCATCTATGTAGATATATCTGAACTATTTTTGTTTGAATTTAATATTGATTAAAAACACTGGTACGGCACGTAGTGTCCTATATAAGCCAGTCGCTTACTTAGGTATACTTACTAACAGATGTCGCTGCAGACACAGTTTTAATTTAAAATTGATTTATATCAGTTTCTAGTCAAATAATTGTTTTCCTTTTTCTTTTATGCAACTATGGTTCAAGTACTTAATAAAGCGGATATTTTAATGATAATAAATGAACTTTTTATATTATTCAGCTTTATTCAGAATATTAAAAAAGCATACACTTTCTAATTATAACAGTTATTCCTCCATAAATTCTCAAAATATTTTCAATTCTAGGTCCCTCCATGGCAACCAAATTTCACTAATTCCCGAAGGAACATTTGCTAATTTGAAATCTATAAGTCACATGTAAGTGTTTTTACCATAAAAACAATTTAGCATGTCTAGTTCACATTTTCGAAGATTTATTTAAAAATATTTGTATTTATTTTGTAGAGCACTTGGTTCAAATCCATTGTACTGCGATTGTTCCCTTAAATGGTTATCTGACTGGGTTAAGGTTGATTATGTAGAACCCGGAATTGCACACTGTGCGGAACCACCAGCAATGAAGGACAAGTCGATTTTATCAACACCTTCTTCATTTTTCGTTTGTAAAGGTAAGTTTACTTAAATTTTTTAGCAACGGGGAAAGTGCTTTTCAATTGGATTCACAGAGAACTTGCTAGAGAGGTCTAAGAAAAGGGTTTGTTTTTAATGAATGCTGTCTATTTCGACTAAAATGAAGGGTTTTTACAAGAAATGGTCTTGATGTAGGACCAACTTCCAGCGGCGGCTCGTGGCCTAAACGCTAAGCCCTTTTCTTGTGCACCACTTTACTCAAAAACCATATTAGATAATTAAAATATTTTTTCGGAATATTATTAGTATTACGTATGAGATTGTCAAGATATACTTTTGGTACAAAATTAATGGGAAAAAAACCCGTAATTGGCTGTATACCATCGTTTAAAAAACACAGAAGTTAAAACACTTCACACATGTGTATGTGTATTGTGGTATAAAAACAAACAAATATTTAAAACTTTATAAAAGTGTCGTCAACATTTAAATTCTGGCAGAACGTTTTCAATCTGAACAGATCATCCTCAGTGCCTTGTGTATTACTGTTAGCAACAAATACACAAGGCACTGAGGATGATCTGTTCAGATTGAAAACGTTCTGCCAGAATTTAAATGTTGACGACAATTTTATAAAGTTTTTTAAGATTTGTTTGTTTTTATACCACAATACACATGTGTGAAGTGTTTTAACTTCTGTGTTTTTTTTTGGTACAAAAATTCACTTCCGGTTTTCAGATGACCGGAAATTAAAATTAGTTTAGTTTTAGACCCCACAATGTATATATGGATCGAAAGGTTTCGTCGAGACGAATCTAAATATGTACTTCCGGTTGCGATCCGACACCGGAAGTGACCCGAAACGCGCATAAAACGTTAAGATAGAGCAAATCTGACACCGGATTCGTGATCAGCATGCAAAATTAACTGCTAAATGATATCCATGTCGACATTTAATGAATTAAAAATTGCATTCCGGTTTTGAGGTCGACTTCCGGTTTCGTTTTTATTAAAAAGTAGAAAGTAAAAGTTTACATAACTCCCGGTGCCAAGCAAAAGTTTTCAGAAAATGGAGACATTGTACCAAAAAACATTGTTTTCGACGAAATATTTCGTGATATTTAATACACTTTTTTCTTCTTCTTAAAGTGCCCTCTCCTCAATGGAGGTTGGCTACTACAATTTTAAACTCTTCTCTATCTTCCGCTGTTCTTATTAGCTGTTCAAAATTTAGCCCTGTCCATTGTCGGATGTTTCTGAGCCACGATAGTCTTTTCCTTCCTAGGCCTCTCTTTCCCTCGATTTTTCCTTTCACTATAAGTTGGGCATATTGGTACTTATTATTTCTCAGTATGTGGCCTAGGTATGATGTTTTTCAAAATTTTTCTGTGTTAAAAAGTTCTCTTTCCTTGCCTGTTCTATGCAGCACTTCTTCGTTTCAGGTATGCGATGTCCATGAAATTTTGAGTATTCTCCGGTAGATCCACATTTCAAAGGCCTCCAATTTATTTACGGTTGATGTTTTAGAGTCCACGTTTCAACTGCATATAGAAGAGTCGACCAGACGTAGCATTTTGATAAACGTAGTCGAATTTCGAGTTTTATTCGAGAATCACAAAGCAGTTTTTTTATTTTTTCGAAAGATTTCTGGCCTGTTCTATTCTCGATCTTATTTCTTGATCAGGATTTAGGCTGCTATCGATCCAACATCCCAGGTACTTAAATCTATTGACCTGTTCTAAGATGTGCCCATTTATTGTGCAAGGTTGAGGTACGTTTTGGTTTTTTCGGATTGACATCACTTTGGTTTTTTTAATGTTTATTTTCATACCAAATTGCTCACAGGTCGAGTTGGTCTTGTCGATTAGTCGTTGTAGACCTGAGTCGGAATCCGCAATTAACACTGTATCATCGGCGTATCTGATATGTTGATATTTACGCCATTCACCGTGACTCCATCCTTGGAATCCTTCAATGCTTCTTTAAATAGAAAACTCGGAGTAAAGATTAAACAGCAGAGGCAACAGAACACATCCTTGTCTAACTCCCCTCCTAATTTCTACTTCTGCGGATGTGGAACCTTCGATCCTAACTCTGGCTTTTTGGTTCCAGTACAAGTTTTTTAAGAATTTGATGTCTTTTCCATCTAAACCGACTTCTTGCAAACGTTCTAATAGTAGGTCGTGTCTTACTCTATTAAATGCTTTTTCGAAGTCTATAAAGCATATAAATATATCTTTCTGTTGGTCGTAGCATTTTTGGGCGAGAACTAGTAAACTGAACAGGGCTTCTCTCGTTCCCATGCCGGCTCTGAATCCAAACTGATCGTCTCCGATGATTGTTTCGCACTTTCTATAGATACGATTATGTACGATTTTTAGTGGGACTACTGCATGACTCATAAGGCTCATCAGATGGAACTCATTGCAGTGTTGTGGGTTTGGCTTTTTTGGTAGTGGGATGAATATTGACTCCAGCCAATCTTGGGGTATTTTACCTGTATCATAAATGCGATTGAATAAAAGGACAAATAATTCGATATTTTCTTCTCTGATTAATTTGAACGTTTCTGGGTATATTCCGTCTGGACCTTCTTATGTCTGGAATACACTTTTTACTTGCATTATTATTGATAAATGTTATGTATATTCTTGCTTATATTGTTTGTATTGATCTCTTAATTTTTCTCGCAAAATAAAAATTTTATTTAAAAAACTCGATGTCGAGTAGGTCCGCTAGTAAGTACTGTTTCGCTCGCTGGTGTCCACCGGCCTCAACTTTTCGTATTTGAGTGCTGTCGTCTTTGGAGTGCTTTAAGGGGCTCGCCTTATCTTCACATATGGCATAATATATCTTCCTACGCTACTATGTTGCCGGATTGTAAAATGTATAAAATAAACTTGAATTAGATAGAAGCGTGAACAACCGCTAAGGTCAGAACTTGACCGTCAAGTATCTACCGCTAATAAAGCTAGATGTCTTTTTTAATTTTTAGATTAATTAAAAGAGAATAAATGATTGATTTCAGAATTTAGATATAATAACGTTGCTTTTATTTTTTATTTATTTGTCTCAATTTAATTATATTTTTTTGGTGAACCTCACCTTCACCTACTTCACCTGGCTGGCCGCCGCTGCCAATTTCAACCGTAAAAAGTATCTGAATTTTTCATGTACATTGTGCAGTCTTAAGGCTTTCTTGTCTAGCGTTCCCTGTGTTTTTTATATCCTGAAATTTTCCATAATGTGGCCAATGCGATGTGACCAAAGATTGTACAAGACTTCCGTAAAAATATTTTTTCCTCTATTAGTTTATCGGATGATATACTCAACTATCATAGTACTTTGAAGATTTTTCTTACGTTTCTTTGAATACTTACTAATTATGGAATTTTTAGGAAAAGTCAGCAACGATATTTTAGCGAAATGCGATGCGTGCTATACATTTCCTTGCCAAAACGAAGGGAAATGCGTCACTATGTCTGAAGGGGACTTTCAGTGCAAATGTGCCCCCGGATATCATGGGAAAAAATGCGAGTTTATGATCGACGCTTGTTACGGCAACCCCTGCCGTAACGAAGGGAGTTGTAAAGTGCTGGAGGAGGGGAGATTCAGGTAATTATTATTTTTACTCCTAATTCGAAAATTTAGTTTTTCTTTCGATTGTATTTTCATTATTTATTAGAAATGTACTTTCCGCTTAAATAATATTGGTTATTGTTAGTTTCTTAATATTTCGATTATTTTAATACTCTATAATAGGCATTTTACTATCTTTTATTATTGTAAGATACATTAAATACACTCGTGATGATAGTGCCATGACATGACGATAAAAATGATCATCTCTATGCCTTAGGCAACCAACGATACTCATGTTAGTAGTCCGGGTTGCTTAACAATATTATAGAGTAATATTTCCTCTTATTCTTACGGTGCCTATCCGTTCCAGATGTTGGCGATCAACATGGCTATCCTAACTTTGCTTGTTGCTATTCTGAATAGTCCGGTTGTCGATATATTAAACCACTTTCTCAGGTTTTGAAACCAAGATATTCTTCTTCTCCCTGGCCTCTCTTTCCAAATACCTTGCCCTGAAGAATGAGTTGCAACAAGCCGTATCTCTGTTCATTTCTTATAACATGGCCAAGATATTCTAGTTGCGCTCTTTGATGGTGTTAATAATCTCGCATTCCTTGCCTATTCTACGTAGGACCTCAACATTAGTCATACGACCCACCCATGAAATTCTTAAAATACGTCTGTAACACCACATCTCGAATGCCTCAAGTTTTCTTAAAGAAGCTTCAGAAAGTGTCCAAACCTCTGCTCCGTATAATAACGTAGAAAATACATAGCATCTAATGAGAGAGATTTTGGTAGCAGTGGTAAATCGTGACTTCTGAAAAGAGACTTCACCATTATGAACGCTGATCTCGCTTTTCCTATGCGTTGTTTTATTTCACTGGTACCAAGGTATTGTAGCTGTCCACTCTGTCAATTGGATGTTGGTTAACCAAAAGCTGTGTATTTAATATTTCGCGCTTACTGACTACCATGTACTTTGTTTTCTTCGTATTAAGATCAAGTCCGTGTTCTCTACTTATATCTGATATACGTATTATTCTTTGCAAACCGTCCAGACTATCTGCAAAAACTACTGCGGCGTCGGCATATCTAATGTTGTTTAGACGCATTCCGTTGACTAATAAGCCTTCTTGTAGCTCTCCTAGCGCTTGCTCGAAGATATATTCAGAGTATATATTAAATAACACCGGGGACAGAATGCATCCTTGCCTCACTCCTCTATCTATAGAGACTGCCTCTGTCAATTGGTTCACTTTAATATTGGCTGTTTGGTTGTAATATAAATTATAGATGATGCTTTTTTGTAGTCGATAAAAGAAGTATACACATCACAGTTAACATCTCGGATAGCGAATAGAGCTTCTCGGGTGCCTAAGGAATCGCGGAATCCAAACTGCGTCCATGATACTTGTTCTTCCCATTTTTTGTATATTCTGCCGTGTATCACTTTCAAGAACGTTTTAAGTAAGTGGCTCATTAGGCTAATTGTTCTGTATATCTTGGCATTTACTTTTTTTGGTATGGTCACGAAGGTCGACTTTATCCAGCTTTGGAGTATTTTTCCAGTTACGTATATGTTGTTGAATACAGTTGTTATCCATTTTATTCCCTGTTCATGCAATTGCTGTATTTTTGCACACTGTTTTCTTAGTATATCCTATGTATATCCTTAGCTATTCTAATAGCTTTTTGATCTTTTTATCGATTCTTTTGTATAATGAGATGTCTTGATCTTTCGCCTCTCTTCGATCATATCTAGAATCTCATTTGTCATCCACGATTTCTTCTTTATTTTTGGTGGTTTGAGAAATTTCTCTTGTATGTCTTTTGAAACTGTATGTAACTTTTCTAGCTCCTGGTCCATTACATCCGATTGAATTCAAATTGTTGTGTATATACCGCTTTACACTATGTTCTGTGTGTTGGTCTTTTAATAGCTTGATGTCGAATTTTGGATTGACACTACGTCTAACCTTCTTTAGCCTGAGCCTAATTTTGCCAATCAGTGGGTTATGGTCTGTATGGGTGGGTTATGAGTAATATTTAAGGATCCAAAAACACATCCACCATATACCAAAAGATCTTAAAAGCTTATTACATCTTGATGAATAAGATCCCAATAATTAAAATTAAACAACGATTCTGACAAACTTAAATGTCTGTACTTTTGGGAAAACATTTTAATTGTATAAGCTCCTTCATGAAACTTTAAGTTTGAATGGTGCAATTTGGGATATATTTAGGTACATTGAAATGAAAGCAGTACCTATACCAACGATGTACCGATTTATATACAAATCATATATCAAAAGTCCTTCATTAGTCACTTTTAATATTTTTTGAATGGTCCGCTTTTTATCATGATCGCATCCTTTCTTTTAATTAAAGGTGTTCCTCCTCCTCCTAAGTGTCTTCTTCTCTGTTGAGGTTGACGATCAATATGGCAAATTTCTCTCTGTTCTGGGCTTGATGGATTAAGTCATTTCCTGTTGTGTGAGTCCAATCGCTGATGTTTCGGAGCCCGGATTTCTTTTTTCTTCCTATACCCCTTTTACCCTCGATTTTGCCTTCTAATATTACCTGGAGCTGCTGAAATTCCTTATGGCGCATTATGTGTCCTAGATACGACGTCTTTCTAATTTTGATTGTATTAACCAGATGAGGTCGTGTGTTCATTATTTCCAGTACTTCTTCATTTGTAGTTTTGCTGGTCCAGCTTATTCTTAGCATTCGACGGTACATCCACATTTCGAATTAAAGGTGTTGCTTGTTACTAAATGTTAAGGACATAATTATACCAATACCGCGGATTCATCTTTTATTTAGTAAGTTTATCGTAAGGAATAAAGTTTTTCGATTCAAATTCAAAGGCCGCTTGTCAATTTTGTAGATATATTAATTAATGCTTAAATCAGAAACAAATGTACGGTATATCCTGCAAATTTTATTGTTTTAGCTGTCAATGCCTCCCTGGGTTTTCCGGAATGCGCTGTGAACACAACATCGACGACTGCATCAACAACAAGTGCGAAAACAACGCCACCTGTGTCGACCTCATCGCCAACTACCAGTGCAAATGCCCCGCAGGATTCATGGGTGATTACTGCGAAAGAAAAATTCCCTTTTGTACTGAACAATATAACCCTTGTAAAAATAACGCTCGTTGCGTTGATCACGATTTTTATTACACTTGCGAGTGTCTACCTGGTTTTAAGGGCGAGAACTGTACCATCAACGTCGACGACTGTGAGAACCACATGTGCCAGGTACGGATTGTAATATTGTTTAATAACGATTGCTTGCTTTTAGAATCATAATCTATTCTAATTACTTAACCTCTATGTCTCATCTCGCACCATAGACGTATATATTAACGTAAATCGATCATACCGAATACCGGCTGCGCATACTAACGACAAGCTCTCTTACAGTTGTTCGATCTGTCTCTCTCTAGCGCAGTCAAACTCTTCATTGCCTCTCGCCCCCGCCAAAAGAAACGCTACGATACTTACTTGATGTGAGACACACAACGAACAACGAAAAAACGTCGAACAACGATGGTGTCGTCACTTAGCTCTACAGACTGCTGAGTCTATCTTAATATATACAGTATTGTGCGAATTAATGGAATCACTGTGAATTTTTTTCATTTTTTCAATATTCACAGTTGGCAACACTACCTACACAATTGACAGCTGACCAAGCATTGAAATCATAACCTTACTGTGTGTTGGTGTGTTTTGAGTGTGTTTTAGGTCATTTCTTACCAAGCTTGTGTTGTTTTGGGGGATTTTGTACTATTTTGTGTTGTTTTTGGTTTTATTCCAACATGGATATTACGCCTAGGAAGCGTGAAAAGATTGTCACGTTGAGTGAACACACTAGTATGTCACAAAGAAAGATTGCTAGAACGTGTGGAGTGAGTCAGGGGGTAGTAAGCAAAATTTTGAAGCGTAAACGAGAAACGGGATCAGTGGATGTGAAAAGGTTAGGAAAATGTGGAAGAAAGAGAAAAACAACACCAGCAGATGATAGATTTTTACTTCGAAAGAGCAAATTGGACCCAAGAAACTCAAGCCAAGACCTACAACAAGATCTAGCAGCATCAGCTATAGTAATTCATAACTCAACTGTTCGTAGAAGACTTTTGGAGAATGGTAGAAGGGCAATTCGTCCACAAAAAAAACAGCTTCTAACTGAACGAATGAAGAAACAAAGGCTACTGTGGGCCAAAAAATACTCTAATTGGAATGTAGGCGACTGGAAAAAAGTCCTTTTTACAGATGAAACCCACTTTATAGTTCAGGGACAGCGGTCGAAATTCGTCAGGAAGTCTGACAATGAAAAGCTTACACCATCTCATATTGATCAAACCGTAAAACATCGGTCAAGAAAATGTTTTGGGGATGTTTTTCATACATGGGGTTTGGATCTTTGGTGCCAATTGAAGGCATGATGAACAGCCAAAAATACAAATCCATGTTGGAAAAGTATTTGGACAAACAACTCCAAAAATGTCAACCCCAAGGAGGAGCGATTCTTCAACAGGACTCTGCTCCCTGTCACAAATCAAAGGAAATGATGCCATTTTTCAAAAATAAGAAGATTAATGTTTTAGATTGGCCCGGTAATTCGCCCGACCTCAACCCCATTGAAAATTTATGGGCCATTTGCAAAGCTAGACTGCGAAAAATCGACTGTACCACTAAAACAAAAATGATAGAAGAGGCCATTCAGGTTTGGTATCGAGATAAAAGGATATCTGACAACTGCCAGAAACTCATAGAATATATGCCAAAACGGGTAAAAGCAGTAATTGCTGCCAAAGGGGGGACATATTTCCTACTGAATGATGTAAGTTTATCTTTATAGTTTTGTAGAAATATAATTTTTTACTAAATAAACTGTTTTTTCATTAAAACAGCCTATGATTCCATTAATTCGCACAATACTGTACGTCTGTGCCTTGCACCGCCTGTCCGTTTTCATCAACATACTAATTACTTCTAGGTTTTAAAAATAATATTTTGAATTTTAGAATGGAGGTACATGTGTAGACGGTGTAAACGAATATTTCTGCAAATGTGCAGGTGATTACAGTGGAAAATTATGTGAAATAACACCGTTAGTTGCTATGATGTATCCCCAAACGTCGCCGTGTCAACATCACGATTGCGTCCACGGCGTTTGCTTTCAACCATCTGGATCCAATGACTATTTGTGTAAATGTGCCCCAGGTTACTCAGGTTAGTATTGATTTAGAGCAACAACTAATTGAATTATGTAATAACCAGTCAAGCCATCGACAAAAATCGCTAAAATCATACGGTATGTCATTATTATTATACACAATATTCTAATTCATTTTTTTTTTTTTCGATAGCTAAACAAGTTAATCTGAGTTATATTCGGTTCACTTAGCTTCGGATTATTTTGACAGTTATTGTCAAAAATATGCAACAGAAAAGATTCTATTGTACCTTATTAATAGCTGAAATAATCTTGCTGTTGCAGACTTCTTTAACAAAAGTCTTAATAGAAGTATAAGAAAAGTATAATCAAAAGAAATAAATGTTTTGATTAATGCAGTTTTATTTTATTAATAAACTTTTACTCTCTTATTAATTAACACGGACTAATCTTAGAGTAACATTAGTCCCAGGACTACACCAATAATATTTATTTTTCGTATTAATAAACAGCGACTAAGGACAGACTAAGCTAAACCTTGGCTAGTCTCGGACTAACATTTAATCCGAGGTAGTGGCAGGTTTAGAGAGTGACTAACTGGACAATTGACATTGAGTTGAGTGTCGTTTTGGTATTCATAACCTGAATTGTTTTTGATTATTCATGCATTATTTAATAATGGAAGATTATTGTATCAACGACTTAAGATTTAATAGAACAACTTAATGACCATAGAAATCAGTGAAATAATATTCATCTAAAGACATATTAAAATATATAAAATTTATTTAATAAAATATTTTACAATTCATTATGTTTATTATTTTTTTTTTATATTTTCCCTTTGTAATAAAATGTTTTTTTAAAGTTTCCTCCTGAACTTTTATGAAATTTAAGCTTTTCAGATAAAAAAAGTACTATAAAATATAAACAAACTTTCTCAGAACACAGTCCAACTAAAATTAACTCTACGTGCTCTAACTTATACTAACTGTCAAATATGTAAAATATGTCAAAATATGTAATTCTCAAATATTTTTCTTCTTTTTTACAAAATTCTCTTCATTTTTCTTCTTTTTCGCAATGGTTGCCAACATAAACTTGTTGTACCTAGGACTAAGGAAGGTTTAGTTAGTCTGAGCTTAGTCCATGTTTATTAATAACATTCTGAAAATGAAGTTAGTACTCGCTTAATTTGGGACTAACTACTCCGAGACTAACTTCGGACCAAGCAATTTTTATTAATAAGACTGCATGTGAATAATTTTTTACTTCAAGTTAAAATTAATATTAGCTATGAACACGTGTGGTTGGCTGTATAGTAACTTCCAGCCAGTTTCAATCGAAGACAAAATTTGTTCAACGTAGAAAAAAATCAATAACTAAATTTACTAGACAGTTGGGACTGGATTCAGTGAACATGGTATATAATACCATTTGTATATTTTAAAAAGTGTATGTGTTCAAAGTTTCGAGCAACCCCGTATACTACACTTTTAGTTAAGTACAACCAGACGTTAATTTTACACCCCTCGAGAGGGGCTGCTAGGTAGTTGCGGGCAGAAGACGGTCGACCACGAAGAGTCTCATCACAATCACGTTACGTTTTTTTTTTTTTTCTTCAATACAGTTTAGTTTAAGTGATTTATTTTTGTATTATTTCGTAAAATTCTAATAAAATTTAACTTACATCCTTCAGTATGCACACGTTCAAAATATATGTTTCTATAAACTGTTTGTCTATGTTTTTAGGAAAACGATGCGAATATCTCACGAGTCTTAGTTTTGTCCATAATACATCTTATGTGGAATTGGAACCACTACGAACTAAACCAGAAGCAAACGTTACGATTATTTTTGCAACTAAACAAGAAAATGGAATACTACTTTATGACGGCCATCAGGAACATTTGGCAGTAGAACTTTTCAATGGAAGAATACGTGTTAGCTATGATATTGGGAACTATCCAGTATCTACGATGTACAGGTAATTATATTAGAAGTTTATTTGTGCAGGAAATGTAAATGGTTTAAAATCAACTTACTTTTTGATCTTTGATATGAACTTCTCGTAATTTTTTATTTGGATATTTCCCTTCTCTCTCTATCTATATCTCTCTCTGTAGCTTAACATCCTTCATAGGTAGCACATCTCTCTATTTTGGTTTATCAAATCTTTTCTCCAACTATGTATTCCCATTTAAATGTATTTAAATCTTGTAAGATATTATCCCCCCATCTACAAAACTTTCAAAATATTCAACGACCTTGTTCATCTATTCGCTCGAGAATCGCACTGGTATGTAGAAGGTGTATTGCTACGGGGCAAATTTTATCTTCTTCTCATGGCGCCGTTTCTTTTCGAAGGTTGGCGATCCAAGTAGCAATTGTAGTTTTGGAAACTACTGCGCAAAAGATTTCTGAGGATGAGCGGTCGAACTATCTCGGCGAGTTCTGGCGTCTGCCTACTAATCTTTTGCCCTATACTTTTCCTTCCAATATAACTTAAAGTAATTCATATTTTTCTAGGCTAATATTCAATGGGATTTCGCCCGGTGTCCCAAGAGCATCGTTAGCGGCCGCGTGACCTGCAACCATTCAGTTTTTAGCACGATAGCTTCCACCTTAACTTACGGATTTTTTGCATCTGGTTTTCTCCATATTTTTGTTGGGTAGGATGGGGAGGGAAAGAAGGTGTGGATGGGAAGAATATATTACAAAGAAATATAGTGACCCGTCTGCCTTCGGAAACCTAATCGCCATTCGGGGTCGGAAGAAAAACAAGAGTTAGCCAAGAGAGGCTGATAGAAAAAGATTAAAGACATTTCACTCAAGACAAGTTGAAGAAGAGTAAAATGTGAAGGCTCTTATGATCCGCCAGGTGCGTTTCATAAGAGTATGAGTATTGGTACATTTGGTGTTCCCGCTCATACTTCGGGGTGTTGACTACAGACTGTATGGCTCGTCCAGCATGCCATAGCATGGATGGATGTTGAAAACATGAGGAAGAGGCCTATGTTCAGCAGTGGACTCTTGAGGCTGGATGATGATTATTCTTAGTAATTGTTTTTGTTTTCACATTCGACGAAGTACCTCAACATTAATAACTCTTTGTACCCATGAAATTCTCAATATTCGTCTGTATATACACATCTCAGTCATCTATTATTTTTTCTATTTTAGAGTCCATTATCCAACTTTCACCCCCATACAGTAAGAGAGAAAAAACGTAACATATTACCATTCGGATTCTAAGCTGCAGACTAAGGTCTGATCTAATCAACAACTGTTGTTATCAACAGGCCCTCGAAGACACTTTGTTTCAGGACCAAGTAACCTTATGTAGAGTCATACGTCGCCATGTTACCAATTCCAACGATAACTTGAACATCTTAATTTTTAATAATATATAATGTAACAATGATCAATGATAGATTATGTGGTCACAAACAGACATATTCACCATAAACAGATAGTGGATATGAGAACTTTGACGTCACCCAATGTGGGAAGCGATCACTATTTGGTACTTGGTAAAATTAGATTCAACGAAAGATGGAAAGAGAAGCTTAAACAAACCAATTCAGAGGAAATAATAAAAATAGGAAATTTAAGAGATGACTCCATAAAATCATTATATCAAAAAAGGCTAGAACAGAAAATACAAATGGAGAATATCGAAAATGAAAGCAATGTAGAGACTAGCTGGAGAAAACTTAAGAAAAATATTATGAGTGCTGTCCGAGAAGCCCTTGGAACCTTGGAACGAAAATAATAAACAAAAGTGGTCAACGAAAACACTAGACTAGTTTACACTAGAGGTTAAACAAAAATGTCATCAAAAAAAAGAATTTTTTTCTAAAATATAAGTAAAAAAAAACTAATGAATCATATGAAGAATATAAAAGAATAATAACTGAAACTCATCAATTGGTAAGAAAACTAAAAAAAATTACTGGGAAAGATTCACAAAAGGACTAGAGATGGATTTTTATGGATAACAGAAACAATTATGGCGCTTCATAAGACAACAAAGAAGCGAAATGAAAGAACTAGTTGAAATAGAACACATACAAGAGGATACATGGGTGACCTTCCTGGCAGAAATGTTTAAAAACCAAAACGAATAACCTTTACCAGAAACGCCAAATATAATAACTGAGGAAAAGATCGAAATCTCGCAAAACGATGTGAAAGAAGGAATAAACAAATTTAAAAAACAGAAAGTCAGCAGGAGAAGATCAAATACCAAATGAACTCTTAAAATATGGAGGTGATCACCTTGTACAACAACTGCAACTTCTTATTAATAAAATAATCACCATGAACAAAATACCAGATGAATGGTGGAGAGCCATCATGGTGATGTTCTTCAAAAAAGGAGATAAGAAAGACCCCAATAATTATTGAGCAATAAATCTATCAAATACAACACTCAAATTGACAAAAAGAATAATAGCGACAAAATAAACGAACGAATATCTCTGCAAGAGGATTTCGGACAGGAAGATCATGCACGGATGCAGTTTTTTTAATAAGACAAATTAAAGGAAAAGTCGCTGGAATACAACAAACCAGCATATATGTGTCTGATAGATCTGAAGAAAGCATTTGATAGAGTGAAAATTCGGGACGCGATACATTTATTATATGAAAAGGGAATATCACTGGATTTAGTAAAAACCATTGAGAATATATATAAAGATGACATAGCTATGGTAAGATGAAAAGGAAAACTATCGCAACCTATCAAATATGAAACTGATATTAGACAAGGAGATTCGCTGAGCCCATTAATATTTAATCTGATAATGGATGAAATTATAAAGAAAGTTAAAAAAAGAAGAGGATATAGAATGGGAAAAAAGGAAATAAGGATAATATGCTACGCCGACGACGCGACGCCATAATAACAGCCGAAAATGAAGATGACCTACAAAGAATAATTAAAGAAGTCGAAGATATGGCGCTCATATACAACATGGTTATCTCAACAGAGAAAACTAAAGCGATAGTGATATCAGCGGAATCGAGACGACGTAAAACTAGTAGTAAATAACAAAATAATAGAACAAGTGATGGAAACTGAATACCTAGGAATAAAATTGTCAAGCTACGAAAAAGTGGAAGAAGAAGTACAAAAACAAGTGAACATGGCAAACAGAGCAGCAGGATGTCTCAACAACATAATCTGGTGAAACAAATACCTCACAACGGAAACGAAAACAAGGATATATAAATCGACAATACTGCTGAAAATCAACTGGTAGAAACAACAGAAATGAAAGTATATATAGCGAGTGTTTGCAACTTTAATTTTGTCGCTTCTCGCATCCCAATCGCCATAATTTCTTATCGGCCCAGTCTCCTTCTTGAAGACCTCTATTTTCCATTTCTATATGAATATTGGATATCCATTTCTTTCTTGGCCTTCCCCTTTTATTTCTCTGTGTAGGTCTCCAGTTCCAAACCTTTCGTGGTATCCTTTCTTCGTTCATCCGTCTCAGATGTCCATACCATTTTAATTGCTTTTCGGCTATCGTATCCATTATTGTGTTCTTTACTTTCATTCTCTCTCTTATGTTTTCATTTCTTATGTGGTCAAACAAAGTTAACCCGGAACATCTTCTCCAGTACATCATTTCCGTTGAGAGGAGTTTTTGTGACATATTATTGTTAAAGACCCACACTTCTGACCCATACGTCAACACCGGCTGAATCATAGCCTGATATATATTTTTCTTTGTTTTCTTAGTTAAAGTTTTATTCCACAGGATCGGATGTAGTGTTTTTATCATGTTTTTTCCTTTTCCTATTTTTCTTGTTATATCTTTGTCGTCTCTCCCGTCTTCGCTTAGTGTAACTCCGAGATATTCGTACTGATCAACGTTTTTAATTAATCCGCTTTCTGTTTCCATGTCTTGACCGATGCCTCCTATATTCATGTATTGTGTCTTTTCGTATTAACCTCTAATCTCCATTTTTTGAATTCGTCTATTAGTTTGTTTATCATGTACGTCATATCTTGTAGGTCCTCGGCAAGAACTACCTGGTCGTCTGCGAAGAGGATTGTGTATATAGGAGTGTCATTTACCCATATGCCCATTGGGCTGCATTTTCTCATCCAATGTTTTAAAGCATTACCAAGATATATTTTAAACAGGGTTGGAGAGAGGCAAGAGCCCTGTTTGACACCCATTGTTTGGGTGAAACCCTTGGAAATTTGGTTTCCAACCTTAATATAAGCTTGGTTATCTTGATATAGCTTTTTCACGGCATTTATACCTGCGTTTTCCAATGTTGTCCATAGTCTCTGCAGTGGTACGGAGTCAAACGTTTTACGGAGATCTATAAAAGTGGCATGAAGTTCTAGTCCTCTTGCTCTTGCTAGAAATGAAAGTCTTACGAAAAATATCAAACCAAACTCTAAGAGATAGAGTAAGAAGTGAGGAAATACGAGCGAGATGTGGTATAGAGAAAATAAACACTTGGACCAAAAGTAGAAAAGTGGAATGGAATCAACACATGGAATGAGAAAATAGATAGTACGAATAGCAAGAGACAAATCGCCAATGGAAGATCATTGGGACGACCGAGGAAAAGATGGTCACACAAGTCAATTGAGGCTAAAAGCCGAAGTAAAACAGACATTAACCCTATTTATAAAGTAGGAAGAAGAAGATATAATAGAACAAAAATTTAAATTAACAACATTTATGTTACTGATGATGGAATTTACATTCCGAAAACGTTCTATAATGTAATTGTGATAGCCCGTCTGGTTATTTTATTATATACCTTTTTTAAAGGATTTTAAATCAAATATTTTTTTATAGTTACAAAAACTTATAAGACATTTTTTTATTTTTAGTTTTGAAATGGTTGCCGATGGGGAATACCACATTGCTGAACTTATAGCTATAAAGAAAAACTTCACGTTAAGAGTTGATAGAGGTTTAGCGAGAAGTATTATAAACGACGGCTCGAAAGATTATTTAAGACTAACTACACCAATGTATTTGGGGGGAATACCACCCGAAGCTGGTCACGACGCTTTTACCCAATGGCATTTGAGAAACCTTACTAGCTTTCATGGTGAGTTATTTGTAGATGTGAAACTTAAAAATGCTAAAGACATTCTTTTCTAATTTTTTATGATGCGTCTTTTAGGTTGTATGAAAGAAGTATGGATTAACCACAAACCGGTAGATTTTGGCAACGCCCAGACTCAACAGAAAGTCCAACCTGGCTGCGGAATTGTCGACCAAGACCGTGAAGAAGATGAACAAGAAGATGAAATGGATGATGAATGGTCGAAGAACCAGCCAGTCCGCCAGACCCATGCCTTAGTAATCACTGTAAACACGATAGCAAATGTGTAGCTACCAGAAACGGAGAGTATGTTTGCAAATGTCGAGCTGGTTTTAAGGGGAAGTACTGCGAGCAAGGTGAGGAAGAGTGTAAGTATGTGGAATTTTACTAACTTTCTGCTTTAGCTAAGAACCTTCTAAGCTCTATTGAAGAGAAATATTGGTGTTGGAAAAATTAGTTTATAGTAGACTTGGTATCAGGTATTCTACCTTTATTTACTAGATATTATAGATATTAGTAATTGTTAATTAATAATCGATTGGGCTTTAAGTAAAACTCTTTAAGATCGTTTTGAGCTTTCGATTTAACTCATTATTAAAAACGTACCTTGTGATGATGGTATACTAAAACTACTAGCGTAACCCAACATAACATATTTGATTTATGTACATAATTTTCTTTTTTTTCCTCATTGCTTTATCGACGTGTTTATTTATAAAATATTAACTACACTCTACACTGTACCGGGTGGTCCAATAAGCCGATCTCTCGGCTATATATCAGAAACTATTCATGTTATAACTTTAGGAGAAAAAATTCCTTAGTAAAAGTGGCCAAAAGAAATCGCTGAAATTAACTTTCAAGATTCTTAATTAACCGCTAGGGGGCGTAACCTGCGAAGAAAATTTTGAAACCAGTTTTTTGGGAAATATGTCCAATTATACCAAGTGTTAAATAAGTAAACTAGAAAGAGGCATAAATTCTGCACAAAATTGTTCAAGTGCTTTTTTTTATTTTTTCAAATAAAGGGTGGGGGAGAGTGGGAAAGTATTTGTGGATAAATACCTATAACTTTGGTTTGGATCAACCGATTTTAATAAAATTAGTGTCATTAGAAATAGTGTGGATGAATTAATTCACATCTACTATAAAATACTTGCATTTTGTTTTAAATAGTCGTAGGTAGAGGGGACTTTCAAATAAAAAAATTAAAATTTGTTTTTCTTCAAAATTTTTAATGGAAACACCTATTTATTGTAAATTATAATAGAACTGGATTAAATTCGTAACAAAATGGAGCAAACCGCATGTTAATAGCTTTTGTTGAACTGGAGATATGAATAAAAACTCATAAACATAAGTAAGTATAGTATTGACACACCCTGTATTATAAATTACATTAAAAAATAAGTCAGGAAAATGAATTTGACGGGGAGTTCATATTGTTTATTTATTGACAGCAGTCAAAACATTGTTAAGAAGTGCTATATTATAATTCGAATTAAAGATTGCGCTTTTTTTAATAGATATTAATATTGTAATATTAGTAATTAATTATCAGTACAAATAATTCGTGATGAGTATATCAAATTGTATGATATGATTGGAGTTTATTTCGAATGTCACCAAAATGCCGCTATTGCCCTCACGTATATATTTTGTAAGATATCCTGACAGGAGACATTATGGCAAAGAAGTATTTGAAAGAAAGGCAAAAAGATTAAGAGAAAGTAGTAGTTTTTCTCGTCCTTGTTTTAAACGACGTAGTAGAGTTATGACCGAAGATAATTCAATCAATGTTCTTGCTTTAATTCAACAGAATCCACATATAAGTAGTCCGAAATCTCTAGTTCTTTGCCACAATGTCTCCTGCCAGAATATCTTACAAAATATATACGTGAGGCAATAGCGCCATTTTGATGATAATCGAAATAAACTCCAATCATATCATAAAATTTGATATACTCATCACGAATTATTAGTACTGATAATTAATTACTAATATTACCAATATTAATATCTATTAAAAAAAATGCAATTTTCAATTCGAATTATAATACATATAACACTTCTTAACAATATTTTGACTGCTGTCAATAAATAAACAATATGAACTCCCTGTCAAATTCATTGTCGTAGCCTACTTAGTTTCGAAAAAACAATTTTGAATCATATGAAATAACAATGGTCAAAATAGGTATCAACATTAAGAGTTTTCTGCTATAAAAAAATTTGAAAGTACCTACTGACTTATTTTTTAATTTAATTTATAATACAGGGTGTGTCAATACTATACTTACTTATGTTTATGCGTTTTTATTCATATCTCGAGTTTAATAAAAGCTATTAACATGTGGTTTGCGCCATTTTGTTACGAATTTAATCCAGTTCCATTATAATTTACAATAAATAGGTGTTTCCATTAAAAATTTTGAAGAAAAACAAATTTGAATTTTTTTTATTTGAAAGTCCCCTCTACCTACGACTATTAAAACTAAATGCAAGTATTTTATAGTAGATGTGAATTAATTCATCTACACCATTTCTAATGACACTAATTTTATTAAAATCGGTTGATCCAAACCAAAGTTATAGGTATTTATCCACAAATACTTTCCCACTCTCCCCCACCCTTTATTTGAAAAAATAAAAAAAAAGCACTTGAACAATTTTGTGCAGAATTTATGCCTCTTTCTAGTTTACTTATTTAACACTTGGTATAATTGGACATATTTCCCAAAAAACTGGTTTTCAAAATTTTCTTCGCAGGTTACGCCCCCTAGGGGTTAACCCAGAAACTTGAAAGTTATTTCCAGCGATTTCTCTTGGCCACTTTTACTAAGGAATTTTTTCTCCTAAAGTTATAACATGAATAGTTTCTGATATATAGCCGAGAGATCGGCTTATTGGACCACCCGGTAAATGTCTCTTCTATTTTTCTATGGAAATTTAGGAAATAACTTCTATGGAAATAATTTAATAGGAATGCAAAACCGTCCGCCTATGGTTCCTTACGTATCTTAGCGTGATTCTGTTTATTCCCAGCGCATTTTTATTTTGAATATACTGTAGCTTCCTATGCTTAGCTCATAATCAACATAAGCCAGCTAATGATGACTTTTCTTAAGCTAGATTCTGTACCTGCGAATTTTAGTTGATACTATTGCTGGTAACTTTAAATATCGTATTGGAAATCTCTTGTTTCTTATACTAAAACGAATTAAGAATTATAATGCTTATTGCCATGTAGGTCTATATATCTTTCTAGTTTTAGTAACGGGTTTTTTATGGCCAAAGATTTTGTATAAGAAACTTAGCAAAAGAATAATGTTTTATTAGTTTTATATTCGATAAATTTCGATTGTCTTAAGATATGCCTTATATTCTGTTATGTTTACAGCTCCAACTTGTAGAAAAGAACAAGTTCGCGAACATTATACGGAACATGGATGCAGATCAAGAAAACCTTTAAAATGGCCAAATGTATTGGTACTTGCGGTTCAAGCTGCTGTCACGCTAGGAAGAGCAAGAGGCGGAAGGTAAGATCATCTCTAGTTTTATGTAAAATATATTGCAACAAAATCCGTAAAATAGTTTCGAAACACAATTCAGATTTCTGCTTATAATCTGAGCCTTCTAAAAATTGCAAGGCAAACAGACGTTGATAAAATATGTTAAAAGGGACATGGGGAATCTAAAATTTGCATTCCACGACATGTCTTTTACAACTAAGCAGAAATCCTTAGCGTATTGTGCTTCTAATACTCACACAGAGTATATCCGAAATAAAATGAAAAAGACAGCAAATATTTGATTTCACGTAAACAATTCCTATGTATCTGTTGATACGTATTTCGACATAATAGGTCTCATCAGAACAGCTATTCATAGGAGTTCATAGCAGTTCTAGAACTCCTATGAGTAGCTGTTCTAATGAGACCTATTAGGTCGAAATACGTATCAACAGATACATAGGGATTGTTTGCGTGAAATCAAATATTTGCTGTCTTTTTCATTTCATTATATTGCAACACATTACCAAAATCACAAAAAATCTTCAACATTTGGGTCTTATCAAGGGGCTTAAATTTTGAAGGATTAACTATTTTTTGCTGGTCATTATCATTGTCTGAAAACTCCTCCTCACTGTTGCTAGAAGCAGACATTTCAAATTCGTCGCCGCTCTCACTTGAAACGTAGTGTTCTATGTCTAGCTGTCTTTTTTGCACTTCAAGAACAGAGCTTTTCAGGGGTGTCAGGGACGATACTGTTCAAAAGCTTAAAACGTGCCCTCCTTGCACCTTTTCTTTTGGCTTCCTATAGAAAACCCTTCAAAATGTGAATACTGGCAAATTTTCGAGTTCTGTGACAGCTTGAAATAGGTTGTGTTGATTTGCGGTTCATCAACATCCCCTTGAACAGCGCCAGACAAATGTGTGCAGCTGACAACAGGATCTGTGGACGTTGATGGTTCTCTTTCTTGGTCACTGGGCGACCTGGTAAATTGATAATGGTATGCTTGGGTGGTGTAAAAGCCATGAATCAACAGAAGTATTCTAATATGCCTTAAATGCCTGATATACAGTAACATCATTATATTCTTATTTAATGTAATAATGTCTAATAATTGCTATATAATGCTGCTCTGTGTTTAAATACTATTTTTTTTTTATTGTTTTAGGTACGTCTCATCTGCAATGACGGCACTCGATATACCAAAGACATTGATATCGTGCGTAAATGCGCCTGCACCAAGAAATGCTACTGACTGACAGACGCCGCTAATCACAATTCTAACGCCCAATCATCATTATTTATAGCAACGCCCCAAACAGAGACTCTATACGTGGACGACGAAGAAAATCAACCAGTTCACGCCCCCATGACGCAAGACTTCGAACCCGAACCAGCAACTAATCAACCATACAAGTTAACGTTCTATTACGATAACGAGAAAAATCAAAATAATGTGAAAAACATACAAAACGATGCACCATTAGATCCACAGAAAGATTACGATGGATTAGTCGTACAAAGTTACGATAGTTCATTTGAAGGAAAAAAAGCAGCCAGGTATGATTATTTTGTATTACAAACTGAGTATACGGTAGCACCAAAAAATCTAATATAAAAGTTTTTTTTATTCCAGAGAATTCAGGTCTTTAAAAAAGAATTTTGAAAGATATATACTTGTATAGGTGCAAAATTCACATTCTCCACGTTTCTCAACTTTCGGAAATATGAGAAAAACTGTTTACTATTGAAGGCCATGGTAAAATGCTTCAAATTTTTTTTGTGTAACAACTTTGTTGTAATAGAAAGTTTGCCTAAACTTTATGGGGGTATTTAGGTAATGAAGATTGTTTTGTAAATTTAATTTAAAATTTAGAAAATGTGAGTTTTGTACCAAAATGTGGGTAACTGTGAGTTTTGCACCAAAATCTCATGGATAATGTTAGTTATGATGCAAAATATTTAAACTTTGTTTTTTTTTTATATTTCAACTTAAATTAAAAACTAAAACCAAGAAGAATATGGTGATTTATATTCTTATGATTTTTGTGGGTTAGAAATAAAATCATTAAATAAATTATTTTATTTCACATCATGAATGTGTTGCTTGTGTGAGTCCATTTCAAATAGGTAAAGAAATAATAAATAAGACTTACTCAAAATCAATTTAATTTAACTATTCAGACGACCGGTTTCGCTTTCTACAATATGCAAAGCATCTTCAGGTCTCGATACTAAGATAAAAAAAACTCATTGTCTCCAAGACTGAGATGTAGTGCATAAAAGTCCTTCCCCCTTTTTTAAATTTAATGTTTGTTTCGTCCCTTCTAAGCGTTTTCTGTTTCTGTGTGTTCAAATTGTCCTTATTGGTTTTAACTTTAATATTTTTATATACTGGACATTTGCAATAATTTACCATTTTTCCAATAGAACTTTATCAAAGGAATTTGATAATTACAAAGTGAAAGAATTGCACACCCACACAATTTGTACATCTAATCTTATTCATTGTCATAAAACTGTCACCTTCATAAAATAAATACTCAATAAATAACACACATTTCATAAATATATCTCTTGAATAAGTATAAATAACTTTTAAATAATACAATGGTATATAACATCACTTTCTGTAACAATAAAACACTGAAAACTTTGTTTTCAAACTTCCACAAAATTTATTTTAAATGTTATCACTACAGCTGTTTCGGCTGATAGCCTTTCTCAAGTGATCTATTTTTGGCTTGGGTTTACAAATTTATAGTCTCTAATGAAATAGGTTAAGGAGGGGAGAACTGTTTGTCTCAAGTTGGTCATTCAGAATTATATCTGTGTTTTTTAATTTGTTGATTTCCATAGATTCTAACAAAGATAGCTTAAGGCCTTTATTTTGAATGTGAAGAATTTTAAATTTGTCATTTAAAGAATGATTATGATCTAGAAGGTGAAGTGCGTATGTCCAATCTGTTTTTCTATTCTTGAAAGCCCTTTTATGTTCTGCTATTCGTTTATCAAAGTTTTTACCAGTTTGACCGATGTAAGTTTTTGGGCAGTCGCCACATTGAAGTTTGTACACACCACTATTTAAGTGTTTTTTTATTTTGGCTCTTGTTATTTTTAATATATTTACCTAGGTTGTTATTTGTTTGGAAAGCTGGTGTTATTCCTTTCTTTTTTATGTGTTTGGCAACTTTTGTTGTTATTTTACCTGTATATGTAATCGAGCAGAAGGTACTAGGTTTTTTCTCTGGTGGTGGAAATACTAATTTGAGGGCTTTCTTGTGTAGTTTTTGATTTAACATTTTATTAATTGTTTGTTCGTTGTATCCGTTGTTTACTGCTATTTGCTTAATTATATTTAATTCTGTCTCAAAGTTGTCTTTTGACATCGGAATTTCTGTTAATCTATGTAACATACTATGTTTAGGATTAAACTTGAGAGGTCGCTGGTTAAATTATATCAGATAAATAATTATAACGAAAAATGCAATATTGGTAATAATAAATTAAAAATACGGAATTAACTGGTTTACTCATTAGGTATCAATGTTTTGTACAAAGAATTATAAGGCTTACCTTTTGGTTCTACTGATGAGTTCGTACCAGGCTGAAGAGTTGGTCGGTGGTACCGACGCTAGCGTCGCCGTCGCCCGAGGCTCAGCACGAGAACCGTCCGGAACTAGATGCGTGTCGATCGATCGTTGTCTGACGAAGAAGTGATTTTGAGATCGTTTCTAGGGCACAAACCAGCCTCTAACTGTGGGGTGGTCAACAGTTCATAGGCCGGGCATGCCATAAATCAACCATTTGTTTCAATATTTCTGACATAGAATACAAAGAAAAAAGCCCAATTCTGCGTACTTTAACATGATAAATGAGAGCCAGTTTAAGTTTTACGAACTCACAGAAAATAATATATTTTAAAAAGATCTTTGAAATATAGCACCCAAATTAGGTCATATTACAGTACCGTAACAGAAAAAATATTAACTGTAAAAATATGAAATGAATGCGCACATACTTTCCCAAACATACTATGATAAGCTGCCACTTTATATTGTGTTGGATGGGATGATGAATTGTGTATAGTCGTGTCAGTATGGGTGGGTTTGTGAACTATGGAGAAGTCATGCTTGTTTTGAAGTCTGCTAATTTTTAAATCTAAAAAATTTATGCATTGATTTTGTTCTGTTTTTATTGTAAATTCAATATGACTATGAAGTGAATTAATATACGATAAAAATTGGTCGAGTTTATCGTATATTAATTCATTGATATTTGTTAAAAACTTTTAGTAAACTTAAAATTTAAACTTTAGATTTCCACCCAAGGTTGATTATTGGGGTACTTAACAAACCCTTAAAATTTGAGACAATATTTTAATTAGTTTAAAAGTTATTGTATTTGTTTATCCAGAGACCTTTTTTTACAACAACATAAGACAGAAAATAATAAAGATAGGGTAATGCTGTGGGTAACAAATGGAAGCAATAGACTTATACTATCAATATGTATTAAATTTCGGAATTTACGTAGAATGAACTATAATAAGACTAAATTTTTTATACAGCAACTACGCATTTGTGACACACGCCATTAAATACCTCTCCTATCTCGCTTAGAATAATTCGTTTTCTATTTTCGCGCAGCTCTCGCCTATTGGATTGTAAGTGTGTAAAGGTCTACTCATATTTTTATTGTTTTATAACTTTAAATAATTAAAAGTGATATTAAAAAAAATTCAATTGTTTCAGATATGCGAAAGATTTCAATGAACACGGCACTGGTTGCATGTTGTCAGCGTTCCTTTACTTCGTTACAATAACGTCTTTCGTATACTTAGCCATCCTGTGGATCAAGCAACGAATGCACATGCACGTAGAACAGATGCAATGGTGGTAGTATTGCGCCCCCCTGATTTTAGGATATTTCAAATTTAATATTTAAAAATTAAAGAAAGAAGACATCCTTTATTCGAAGTGTTCGAATTTTTGCACGATTGTTTCATGGGTTAAGAACTAAAATTTTTTTTAAATTAATATGTATGTAGAAAACAAATCTATATAAACAAATTTTTATTTGGTCCTTATCTAGGTTTGAGTTATATTCTATGTATATATCTTGATTATCATTTTTACGTTATTTTTATTTTTATTTTTTTTTTGGCATTTTTAAGTTGTTAGCAAGTGAATGGTCTCCTTTTTCCTAAAATTTTATGTGGTTTACTAATATTGTATTGATCTATAAATCATTTACAGAATAACAATAAAACTTGAAAAATTCAATCAATTTCATGACAGAAAAACAATAAACTGTATAACGGTCTATAGGGAACTCACTCTAATTTAGCTACAAAAACAATTACAAATTTTGTAGTGATGAGGAAGTCAAAGTCCTAAATATATAATGTGTTTGGACCTTTGCACATGCACTGGTAAATAAAAATTGATTATTTTCACATTTAATGAGTGTTTGTAAGTTGAAAACAGGTCTAGATTTAGCCATAAATTGCAATATGCTGTACTATTTTGACTGCAAAACGATTTTGGATTGTCTGAGGTTAATTCGTGAACTCATTTGAATTTTTAAAAATAAAAAACTGTTTTTTATATCTAAAAATGTATGTCAAATATGAGAAAAAATCATTTTAAGGTGATTAAAAAATATTTTTGGTACTGACGAATCCTCAAGTCAGCAAAACTTATCCCTTCAGAGATATTCAGGTTCTACGTAACATATTATGGATTCATAGATATGATACTATAACAAAACAAGATAAGTCAACGCGCATGTTCCTGTGACGTAGGCCCGAGACAACTAATGACGGCAAGTTAAATACTCATAAGTGTTCATGTTAATTATGTTGCCGTGTTAATCGAATTTGCTTTCCTGTGCATTTCAAAACATAGTGAATGATATTTTTATTTAATCATTGATGTAGTAAAGACTTTGTATATTATATTGTTGTATAAATTTTGTGGTGTAAAAATTCAGTTTACTGTGTTAATATCACCTAATTTGTTTATCATACGCAACTTCCTCTCGACTACCTGTAGCTTCTTTATAAAGAAGACTAATTATTTGTTTGCCATAATGTATTGTGAGTGGTGGGTTGTTTAAAAATAATAATAAAAAAAGTATTTGTTATAGTATCATGATTTTATTCCAATAGTGAATCCAATAGACAGTTGACATTGTACTAGTCTTAACTTCCTATAAATGACATATGGCGCTAATATTTAAATTTTGTTTAGTTGATATCACTATTTTAACAGATTCATAGGAAATGAATTTAAGATTTCTTACTGTCAGAATCTAAACTACTCAAGTTACCAGTGCCTTTTATGATTGGTTGAATGTTAATGTTAACCACACTTTGTTAACGTATATACCACTTTTTAATAATTTCATGATAAATTTCCCAAATTTCTCTGTTCCATTGATTTAGTGCTCTTTCCACATATTTATAACACCACTATCAGGATATCCATTTCTACCAATATACTTACTGTAATATGACTTGTAAATTAACTCAATAGTGATAAAGAGGAAGTCTCAAGACTTCATGGCTATGTTCTCTTAATAGCTCATTAATTATTACATAAACATTCTCATTTTTGATCATTTTTGCAATTAGTAATAATTTAGCTTTTGTGAGTGGGTCATATGATCTTGTTTGCTGTCAACCTGGTAATAATGTCCATTCTAGTTGAAACAGTGGAAAGTTGCTTTTTTGAAAAGAACACTGTAATATGGAGCATTATTTATCATAATAATTAGTGATGGCTTTTCTAAAATGGAAATTAATTGTTGACTTATTCATTAACTGAAAATTTCAATGATCATTTCCGCATGATAATTAGATACTTTAAATTTTGAGCAAAATGATAAACTTGCTTCAGTAACAAATCCTTTCCAATAACAATCTTAAAAAATATAAAACGTTTACCAACATACTCTTCTGGTTTACATATACTTTTATCATTATTGTCTTGCCAGAACATTGTTTTATTTTCCTTTGGATCGCTATCACCATATTCCTGGTTCTCCTCCGCCAATTTTCTCGGTCTAAGGCATTCTTCTCCTCCAAACCTCTCGATTTTATCGCTCTTCTAATTATTTCATTCCATGAGCGTCGCGATCTACCTCTTTTTCTTCTTCCAGAATCCAGAGGGCTTCTATCTGTAAAGTTTTTGGGGCTAACGTTCGTCAGGCGTTCTCAATAGGTGTCCAAACCATTTTAAACCCCATTCTTGCAATGACAGTTTTTGTAGCATTCATTTTATTCCTTATAGATTCGTTAGTCCAGCCTTGAAGTTCTAGCACTCCTAAAATAATCCATTTTAACTGCCAACAATCTTCTCTTCAGGTCTGCATTAATAATTGTCCATATTTCAGAGCCATAACAAAGAACTGATTCAACCATGGTTTGCCCTTGATTCAACCATGGTTTGACATATTCTTTTTTTTTGTTCCTTTTGGAAATGTTGCAATTCCACCATAAGGAGTTCAGACATCCTACAATATTACATCCCTGATTAACTCTGTTTTTAATTTCGGTTGAGTGAGTGCACCTCACTCATCAGAAATTGTTTTTTGATTCTTGATTATTTGATTGCGTACTTCTCCGTTTTTCCTTTGATATGTTACTCTATTGCTAGATGTTTTATTTGTTCAGCCATTTCTTATACATTTTGTTTTTTTCTTGTATCATTTCTTTTGCGTTTTCTGTCATCCATGGTGGTTCTAACTATTTTGTTCATTCATTATGACTGTTAAATAAAACAACCCGATGGTCGATTAGTAAAGAGTTTATTAAACAATAAGACTAAAAATATTAACAAACATTTTCCTCTAAAAAATCAGGAGCGCCTAAAAGGAGGACTTCGCAGATTGTGCCGTGACGTCACACTTGACAGATATGAAGATGGAGTGACGTCACCAATCATGTTGTATTAAATATAATAAGATAGTCGCTATGATAAGGGAAGTTTCTTTACCTCCGATTAAGTATTTATCTAGCAGATGAAAAAAGTAGCCTTTCCCTTTCAGTTCCGAATAAACTTACCGGTAGATAAAATGTCAAATATTTATTTGTCAAATAAAGTACGGAATAAGTTATATGTAACTTATATAACTATAAGGTATAATATTTGGGAGAGGATCGACAATTGTAATTGGTGTAATGAAGAGTTTTTAACAGGTTTGGATTAAGTAAACCAACAGTGATCAGCAAAAATATTGTACACAGTTGTTAATAAAAGATTAAGACTTGATTGGGTCTGAAACATCTTATTACGCTCAAGACAAAACACTCCCATTTTCTTTTATTTTTGAAGAAAGAAATCTACAATTAAAATACCAACGAATTGACAGTCAAAAAATAATTTCTTAGGTTATACGGTATACCAAAAATCAAGTGTTTGTGGTGACATCAATTTATTTACGTTTAGAAACTGATTGATGACGTCACGGCACGATCTGCGAAGTCCTTCTTTTTAAGCGCTCCTAAAAAATCAGCTGGACAAGAAGTAACATAACCTAAAAATAAATAATTGCGCTTTTTTTTACATTAGTCCAGGAGCTTATACTAACAACGACTAGGTACTGATTTTTAAATTTTTGCATGATTTTTGTTATTTTCACGGAATATTTAGTTGTTTTCAAATATTGTAAACTTTCAAAAGGTTGAGTTTACCGAAAGTACAAGCTGATTATAGCCGCAAATGTCAAACATGGAACAAAAAATTTCGGTAGAGCAGTGTTGGCATGTTTTTATAATGTAGATGCTGTATGCTTCAGATATAAAAAGATAAAGCTTTAGAAACGTACATTTTGTTTATATTATATAATGAATTCTGCAATTTTTGATTTATATAAAACAACAATGAGTAAATATTTGTTTCTTTGGAGGTTAATTGCAGTTAATTATTAGAAATTCTTTTAGCAATTATCCTTTGATAGATTAGGGGATAGATTTGGCAATTGTCAAATCAGCAGTTGTCAGATTACAACAGATGTTTGCAATTAATCTCGAAAGTAACAAATATCTATTCGTTATTGCTTCATATAAATTAAAAATTGCAGAATTTATAAAATAGTATATACAAAATGTACTTTTTAAAAGCTGAATCTCTTTATATTTAAAGCCTACAACAAATGCATTATAAAAACATGAAAACACTGCTAAACCGAAATATTTTTGACATTTGTGGCTATATTCAGCTTGTACTTTCGGTAAACTCAACCCTATGATACTATGAATAACAAGATAGGATCTTCCCGTAGCACAAAATCGGTCGTATTCGCGCATGCCGTCATTGGAGAGTAGAATTTGAATTCTTGTTAAAGTTAAATGGGATTTGTATGCATTCTGTGATGAAATTACTAGATGAAAATAAGTTAAGAGGTTCAATAATTACAATAATCGTACACATAAGGATATCTCTAAACTATTTATTAAATATTATTTATTGACACATACAAAAAACTGACATTTCGAACGTGCAACTCTCCAATGACGTCACGACTTATGCGCAATATCTTATCTTCTTATCATAGTATCATGCTCAACCCTTTCAAAATATTTATTAATATACTTAACCTATGAAACAATCTATATCCTGAATTATATATACAATAATTATTTATATACATTATATTTATATAAAAATTGCATGTTTAGAGAAATAACTTCAAATAACTGTATGTCGGTCCTAAATAGTAATATCGTTTAATACCCCGATTGTGATTATTTTTAGTTTTATTATTAAGTAATTAACGAAAAGAAACCCGAAATGACAAATAATATTAATAGTTAATAAAAACCCGAAACAGACTGTAATAATAATGTTAAAGTAATAACACCCCCTGATGATGTTAGAATTGTGACTAGCGGCGTT